ATGGGAATAAAATCTGTATCAATGATGGAGCGAACCAGCTAATATACCAACTGAGCCACCCCTCATTTTGCCACTATGAGAGTTTTAGGTTCACAACTATCATTGTTTTTGCTTCATACATGTGCAAGAGCAATTGTTACTTGCATTGACTGTGTGATGCATAGGCTGTAAGTGAAAAAATAAATAGTGATTCATCAAAGTTTTTATATATTTCTAGTTTTTTACATCTAAAATAGTACAAAAATAATAATATTTTTTTCTTTTTTAGTAATTGAGCTTCAAATCTATTCCTTGTTATATAACTTATATATTATAAGAAATACATAAATTAATTGCTTAGCATGATAACCAATTGATGGTGGCTTAGTTTATAGGTTCTTTGGCTGTTTGTAGCAGAGACTTGAGATCAAATCCCACTACCTTTAAGGTTTGGGGGGGGGGGGGTGTTAAGGGTTTCGGGGATGGGATACCCTAGCAATTGTATAGCCTTATATAAAGACAAAACAAGTGCTTAGCATGAGATCAATAACCAAGTTAAGAAACAATTTCAAAATTGAATTAACGAAGACAATCAAGGGCTTATGTTAATTTCTTTCTTACTGAATCTTATTGTTGAATCAAGAGAGTCCATGAAACTAATCTAAATTGAATTAATAAAAAACAGAGAAAAACCTAATAACCCATGGAAAGGAGAAATGGTTTTGTTAGACTTTTATATAAGAAGAAAATTGGGTCACCCCATGTAGAGGTGGGCAAATTTAGATTTTGACATTACTTCCAGTCCAAGCTAGGGTTCATACTTAGGTTGGCCCTTAACCTAACCTAATCCATCTAATTTACACACCTAAGTTATTAGAGAGAGTGAAAATGGATTAAAAGATATTTAAGAGGAAAAGAGGGATTGAATAAAGAGGGGAGATGTTACAAACATTGACTATTAAGGTGCATGTGAGAGAGAGAAGAATGATCTTATTACACTGCCAAACCAGTGCCTAGGAGATGAAAGGACACAAATGAATTACACTGCCAAACCAGAGGCATATTCATCAACTTAGTTGATTCATAAGATTTGTCAAAGAACCATTCAACTTAAAATTTGGCATCAAAGTTTGTTTAACCAAGTGATTTAGTGTTTAATCTCTATCGTGCCCCCAATATAATTATTTAAATGTCCACACAAGTTATGAATGGGCATGTGCTTGCCCACACTTCAAATCTGATGAGCTTTTGCATGCATGAGGGTGCATGTTAAAAAAAAAAAAAACTTTTTTTAGGTTGAAAATTCTTTGAGTAAGTTCAATGGCGAAATCAGCAACAAGGCCCATTGAAATGATACTGATGCTTGAGTTCTCTTCGTCAAAGAGATATAGGTCCTTTGACCCTTGGCTTCACACTAAAATGGAACCCAAAAATGAGCAGGAGTTCAAGTAATCACCGAAATAAGGTAGAGGGGAAGCATGGAGTGTATTAACATGTGGTTGTTTTAAAATGCTCCATGCCCAATGAACCTTTGCTTGATTTATTTAGTTTTTATTTTGTCTATTTTAGCCTTTAGTTTTTTTTTCTTTTTTTTTGTCTGTCGCTTCTGTTGCCATTTAGTTTGCGGATCGTCTAGTTGTTTTTCTACCTTTTTCTGGTAATTCTTTGGAGCAGCTAGCAACATTGTTAACTTCTTATTCATTTATTCTGTTGTAGAAATGAGGTTGTTTGATTGTTTCTATTATGGGGCTGAATGTGGATTTGGAAACCATTTCCTCCTTCATTCCACAGAATTGAAATTACTAACCTCTAGAGATGGGAGTGGAATTGACTATGCCAATATATATATATATAAAAGCATGAATGGCCTCAAGAATATTTCTGGATTTTTTAGGACAAAATTTACCCCTCTACATTTAAATTTATTAATAAAAAGTGAGGGCAAATAGGGTAATTGGTTATTGACATTAAATGAGTTGAAAAGAGTTCATTTTATGATATTCAATGCATTCAATTTCCTCTCAATAAATTCAATATTTAATTTATTAACTTGCATTCATGTTCAATGAATCTTATATTTACGTCATTTTTGTTTCTTCTCATCAAGTTCTATTAATTAAATCCATACTTAATAAATTAATAATTCCAATAGCATAAAAGCTTATACTTCTAAAATCTACCTAAAAAAATAGAGTTTTCATCTAGGTGGTGGTTAGAAATTAAACCATTTTGGGTCAAATGGGTTAATCCATATTGCCACAATTAAATAATAAAATGAAAAAATAGATAAAATGGAAAAAATTAGAAATTAAAAAAACTTGGAACATTTTTAACATACATATTAAATAATAAAAAGTATGATAAATAAGTTATGTTTTTATTAATGATGAAAATTGAATGTAAAATTTAAAACCAATTGGAAATAAAAATATTTTTCTATTATCTCTCATTAAATCTTATATTTGAAAACAAAACCATTTCCTTCGCTCCTAGTGGTGGGTAAGCAATTCAATCATTTGGGGTCAAATGGATTAATAAATAATTTCATTATTAAATAATAAACATTTTAAAATAAATAAGTATGAAATGTAAAAAGTATTTTTGTTAATGATGAAAATGGAATGCCAGATTTAAAATCTACCTAGAAATGAAATGATTTCATAGTCAAATAATAAAATTTGTAAAAATAGAAAATACAAAGAATCACAAAAATAAAAAAAAAAAGATAAAGAAAATTTTGGGCACATCTCTAATATTATGCATTCATTATATTAAACAAAAATAAGTATTATACATAAGAAATAATTTTTTCAATGATGAAAATGTAATACAAAATTTAATGTCAACATAAAAACCAAACTATTTTTCTTTTCGGGTGGTGGGTTAGTGGCTTAGGTCAAATGATATTATAGACAAACAAAAAAGTGTGATAAGTAAAAATTATTTATATAATGTAAATGAAATATATAATTTAAAGGAAAAGTTATAGTCAAAGCTAGTTATACATTTAAAATAAGGTTGTATGTTGATTTAGAAACAAACAAAACTCTAACAACCAGCTCTACATTTCAAATTATAAAAACCCCTGCCATGTCTTCAAAGGCTTATGTGGTTATTGACTACATGGGACTCTTAATCCATGTTAGACACAAAAAAAAAAAAACCTATACCAAAAATATGTTTTCAATTTCTCCCCCCGCTCCCTCTATCTCTCGATCTCCTCCCTTCTCTCTCACTCTTGTAGTCATCTCTCGATCTCCCACTCTCTCAGCTTTGGTATGTAGCCAAATCAAAGCATCGGTTTCTCTCCCATTCTCTCTCTTTCTCTCTCATTCTTCTTCCTCATTCTCCCTTTCGGTTAATATCTCCTTCTCCCTCAATCTCTATCATTCTCCCTCAGTCTTTCTCCCACTCCCTCTCTCATTCTTTTTTTTTTTCTTACAAACTTTTAAAATATTAACCAGACTGTATAAAAGAACTAAAGAGACCAACCACTTGTATAATCAAGTTATAAATTTCTATCAAGTTGATGTAAATTTCATAGCCAAGAGTTTCTTGTGAATTTTTATCAAATTGGTGTAATGATTTTTGAATTATACCAAGTTGGTCTCATGTTTTTTTATATGGTCTAATTAATACCATATAGGTGTGTAAAAATATAAAAAAAAAACAAGACGAGTGTGAAAGAAATTGAAGGAGAACGATAGGTAGAGAGAGAATGAGAGAAATTGATAGAGGGAACATAAATACAGAAACCGAAAACCATTTTTATTTATTTTCAAATCACATAGTCGTTGAGCAGAGAGAGACGACTGTGAGAGTGAGAGAGTGGGAGAGAGAGAAAGAGACTAAAAACCATTTTCTTATTTTCTAATCACCCAACATTAAAGGGCAATAATTTCAGTATAAGCTTTTTGTTGTGTCCAACATGGATTAAGAGTCCCATGTTGGCAATAGTCACATAAGCTTCCGATGATATGGCATGGTTTTTTTATAATTTGAAATGTAGAGTCAATTGTCAGAGTTTTGTTGATTTCTAGACTAACCTGTAGCCTAATTTTAAATGTATAACCGGTTTTGACTATAATTTTCCCTAATTTAAAACTAATCCAAAAGCAAAGTTATTTTCTTATTTAGATGGTGAGTTAATGGTCCAACTTTTCTAAAAAACCCATGATGTCATAATTAATGAATAATAAATATTTAAAAAAGTATAGAACACCAAAAATGAAAATGTACAAAATTTTGTCAAAAACATTTGAGAACATTTCTAATGTTATATATTCATCATATTAAATAAAAATAATTGTTAAAATAAAAGTTATTTTTATTTATGATAGAAATGGAACACAAATTTAATAATAATAATAATAATGATGATGATGATGATGATGATGATGATGATTGTTATTTAATACAAGAATTTAAGTTTATTTTTAATCATATTGTTACTTTTGTTAACTTTCAATTTCTATCTTAACCATGATATATCTAAAATTCAAGTAATTAATATGAAGAAAAATTTCTCACGCACAACATATGTGATTAATTACTAATATATATTGAAATGACTTTTAAATTTAATGCTCAAATATCGAATTTGTTGGGAGGAAGAGAGACTTTGGCAGCAAGCAACCATCAATAGTCAAGATGTGGGCAGAAAGAAAAAGATATTAGTGGGCTTTGCATGAATTGGGCTCATTATTTTGGGCCCAGCGTAGGATTCCATGTCTTGATGCAATCGCAAAACTTTGTCGCGCGTTTCAAATCTGAGTGCAATCACATCTTCTTTCGAAAAAAAAATGCAAAGGATGTCCATCTCTCTAGGACCAAGATTTGGTAATGGGCTAATGGCCCATACACAGTGAAGGATGTCAGCGGGTTCAACTCTTTTTCATCCCCAACCAATGAACGAGTTGATCTCTGAATTCATAAATGGACTTTATAAAGCCCAATTATATGACTTATCAAAAAGGCCCAATTATAATGGACCGACAATAAAACTGGGACTCGAAGAAGAGGTTGCAGCTATTCTGAGTCCGAGGGACGGAACCGCCAAGGGAGAAGAAATTTGTCCGTCTTCTGATCTTCTGTATTTCTTTATCCTCTGTGGTTTCCCTCCATTTCCTGGCTCCAGTCCAGAGTGCGGACCCAAAGACAGATTTCGATGGTTTTCCCTTTAATAGAATGGTTTCAATACGTTCCACAGGAGACACTTCGCGCAAATTAGTGAATAGCTGATCCCTGAGATACCATCGACGCTTTCCTTTCAAAGCCATGCCCATGTCCCGTCTGGTCCGCTTCTCTCTCGAAAACCGTTCAAAGGTCAATCTCAGTCTTCTTCGAGGGTGAGTTGAGCTCCTGTACTCCTTCAATCTCTTTTCCCCATTTCAATGAGATATTACTTATAGAATCGGATCGTGCCTCTTGTTGTTAATACACTTTCTATTTACTTTTTAAGTTGGTCTGGATGGAAATAGGTTATGCAGATTGAAATGCAAGTAGAATTAGTTCGAACTTCGAAATGTCTTCTTGTAGAATTTTGCTTTACTGTTTTAATCCTTTTGAATGGAAAATAGAAGCAATGCAAAGTGTAAGCCATGAAAGTTTTCTTATGTCATATTTGGTTTGGTAGACATAGCCTTGTTTGCTGAATTCTTGATTGGTCTTTTTGTGTAGCTCTATCAGCTTACACTGAAGTCGGATGGTTATAGAAAGGACTTTAGCATTACTTGATGATAACGTTCTTCTTACATGTCAAGAGAACATGTTTGACTTTGTCTGTGAACTTGGGGACAGCTCAAAAAAGGGCAAAATTTGGTAATAGTGTATGGGGTTGGAGCAACTGGTTGCGTTAAATTGATAAAGCATATTTTGTAATAACCTAGTCAATGGGGCAAATTGGTTGTTAGGGTTAACTGCAGCTTTAAATTTTCGTTTATTTCACCAACTACCTTGAGGCGTACCTTCTCTAGTTGGATAACTTGACATTTCCCCTTGAGATGTTATAAAACTGTAGTGGGTGGTCTGTCTGCTTATGAAATGGTTTTATCATGAGTTTTTTTTTTATCAATAACAGTGAATTTTATTAAAGTATTGAAAATTACAAAGCAAAAGAGCTAAACAATCTTAACTCCCGAATACAACCAATGTACTCCCAAAATGTAAAGCAATTACAGCACAGCCCAAAACATAGAGTTTCTGTTCACCCCTTGCCTAGCTAGACCATCTGCCAATGACTTTGCACTTCTCTTTACCCATGATGTCCTTAGTCAGCCACTTAAATTTCCTCTTTTCATTGTTGTAATTCCAGAGCCTAGAGTTGTCTCTTTTAGCCAGTTCACCACAATTTCAGAATCTCCTTCTATGATCAATTTATTAATATTCATGTCCTTGACCCTTTGTACCCCTTCAAGGGCTGCTAGTATCTCAGCCCTCAAAGAATCTCCCACCCCAATTGGACCAAAATATATAGCTAACAGATTCCCTTTTTCATCTCTTATCACTCCCCCTATTCCGGAGGGCCTTGGATTGCCCATACTGCTGCCATCGAAATTCAATTTAGTAAAACCATGAGGTGGAGGGGTCCAGCAGGAACTTGAAGCCTTTTTAGCTGAAGCTGATTCTGCAATCTCCTTCCAATTCCTTAGCAATTCATCAACTGAGAAATCTACAAACAAGTCCAAAGTTTTCAACCAATGTATCGCCCTAATATGAATAACCTCCAAAATTACTTCCAAGCTTCTCTCCTTATCTGAAATAATTCGTGAATTCCTCTCCTCCCAAACAGTCCAACAAATTACGACCCTAACACACCTCCACATAGTCTTAGCCCTTTTTGTTGACTAGTTAGGCATGGAAGTGAATAAGCTTTGCACATTCAAAGGGGGAATCCACCACTGAGGAGACAAATAGCTATTAAGTCTTTTTCTTTGAAGTAAATTGCTTGTATTAACTCTTTCCAGAAAGGCTTCCCAATAGAAACTCCCAACCTTTGGAGGTATAGGTTGACACCACACCTCTTTAATAGGAAATGACAGTCCAGTAAAAGAAGGTTGTATTAGGGCTTTAAAGAAAGAGGCACAGGTGTAGGAACCCGAGGGAGTGAGTGTCCAAATTCTACTGTCTGCCTTTATTGGCTCTAGGAAGACCCCTTCAAGGATGGATAACAAGGATAAAGTGCAGCCTAACTCTGTGTCCCTAATGTTTCTTCTCAAACCCAATTTCCAGCCAAACCCAGAAGTTGAGTTGGAAGGTACAAGGAAAGAGGAAACCGGTTCATTTTTTAGATAGCAAAAAGAGTCGGAAATTGGTCTTTTAAAGAAGTATCCCCAATCCAAACATGTTCCCAAAATTTAATGTGGTTGACTGAGTGCAAATCATACTTGATTGAGGGAGAGAACAAGGGCAAAATAGCGTGAATGGATTTCTAGGGAGATGCTCTTGTAGTCTTTGGCAGAATCCTAGAGTCCCATCCATTGTCTGCAACCCCATGAATATTTACCCACTATCTTAACCCAAAGTTTTTCTTTCTCCAATGAGAATCTCCATAGCCATTTCCCTAATAGTGCCAAGTTTATATTCCTTATGTTCCCAATACCTAGACCTCCCTCCTTCTTACTCCTACACACCACCTCCCACTTAACCCTATGGTCCTTCTCCTCCCCCAACTCCTAGAGAAAATCCCTCATTAGTTTTTCTAACCTGCTAGCCACTCTAACCAGAATCTTAAAGGCTGATAAAAAATAGACAGGAAGGTTAGCTAAGGTAGACCTAATTAGAGTGATTCTCCCTTCAAGAGACAAATAATTTTTCTTGCAATTGGCAAGCCTCTTTTCAAACTTCGCCACAACCAGAGCCCAAAACTCACCTTTTCGGGGATTATCTCCCAATGGCAAATCAAGGTAGTTAAAGGGCCAATTAGCTACTGCACACTCAAATACCTCCCCCTCCCCCATGTTAACTCCAATTATACAACTTTTCTCAAAATTCACTTTAAGTTTGACATTTGCTCGAAGAGTTGTATGGTGACTTAGTGATTCAAGTTTTTGATGCTATTGATATCCCCTCCTTCAGAAAAGAGTATTGTGTCATCTACAAATTGCAAGTGTGCGAGTGGTATGTTCTCCCTTCCAACTCTCCATCCTCTTATTAAATCCTTGGAGTCTGCTATGAAAATTAGTCTCCCCAGCACTTCTACAACCAAAATAAATAAAAAAGGGGAGAGGGGGTCTCCTTGTCTAATCCCTTTCAAAGTTGGAAAGAAATCCACCACTGTCCCATTTACCATGATGGAGTAATGGCAATTCCTAATGCAACACATCGTCCACTTGCACCAATTATCTCCAAACCCAAAATTGATTATCACCTCCAGTAGGAAAGACTAATCAACCAAGTCATAAGCCTTTTTTTTTTTGATAAATAACCAAGTCATATGCCTTTTGCAAGTCCAATTTGCAAACCACCCATTTTTTCTTGGATCCCTCCAAGCTCTCATTTGCTATAAGTATCTGATTTGTTATGTACCTCCCCTTCACGAAAGCTCCTTAGTTATTTGCTATGATTGTTGGGAGCACCTTTCTAATTCTAATGGACAACACCTTAGTGATGATCTTATAGAGGCTGTTAACTAGGTTGATCGGCCTATAGTCCTTTGGATGGTTTGCATTTCTTTTCTTTGGTACCAAGGCAATGAATGTGGAATTTAGCCCAGGGTTAATCACTCCTCTAGTATGGAATTCATCAAATACTAGCTGTAGATCCTGTTTTAATATCTCCTAACAATCCTGATAAAAAGCCATCGTAAAACCATCTAGGTCTGGTGCCTTTGATCTATCCATAGAGAACACCGCCTCCTTTATCTCTTCCAAGTCAAATTTCCTTTCCAGCCACTCCCTTCTTCTAGCTTCAATTTTGGCCATTCCAACCCCTCAATCCACACCCTATTGTTTAGGAGTCTTCTAAATATAGACCTAAAATGATCCGAAAAGGCCCCTGAAATCTCTCTTTGATTGGAAATTGTTTCCCCTTCAATCTCCAAACTTGAGATAAAATTTTTTCTCTTTCTTCCACTTGCCACAACATGAAAAAACTTGGTATTCCTATCCCCCTCTTTCAACCACTTGCATATTGACTTTTGCCTCCAACTTATTTCCTCTTGAAGAAGATAGTCCTCTAACTGTTTGTGCAATTTCCATCTTTGTTCCTTATCATCTTCTGTAAGGCAGCCCCTCCCTTCTTTGCTATCCAGGACTTCAATTTGTATTGTCACGGTTTGCTTCCTTTCCTCCAGTCTCACAAACTCTAAAAGATTCCATTCATTGATTCTAACTTTCAGATATTGGAGATATTTGTGAAACTGCATTCCACTCCATTCCATTGTTGGATCGATTTCTAACCACCACTCTTTAACTTTCTTGATGAATCCCAGGGTGGTCGGAGGTCACCCTTGGAAGTGCTCTAGAGGTCAAATTCCCCCAATGTTCTTTCCAGTCATTTGAGAATAAGAATTTGTCCAACTTGGAGCAAATTGGATTCACTTGGAGATTGGACCAAGTAAAACAACTATGTGATGATGGAATCTCTTTAAGTTCATAGGCATCCACAAATTGATTAAATTTCCTCATGCTCGTGGACGACCTCTGCCTAGGACTGTTTGTTTCTTCCAAGAATCTGATTATATTGAAGTCACCTCCTAAACACCATGGCCCTTCCCACAATCCCCTTATGTCAGCCAGCTCTTCTCATAGCTTCCTCCTCTCTCTATAGTCATTCGGCCCATAGACATTGGTTAACACCCATTCAAATCCATCATCCACTTGCTTAAATTTCAAGGAAACTGAAAATTGTCCTATCAACTCCTCCATACCTACGAGTACATCATTCTTCCACATTGTCACAACACCCACTACAGACCCCCGGGAAGGCAGAGACGCCCAACTAATCCCCCTACCTCTCCATACGCTCCTTGCCCACTTGATGTCAAATTCTGCTCTTTTGGATTCCTTCAACAATACCACATCTGGATCTATTTTCTTGATGGCCTCTTTTATTACTGCTCTCTTCCTTGCACTTCCCAATCTTCTAATATTCCAACTTATGATCCTCATTTATCTTTGCTCTCCACCCCTTACACCTATTACTCTCACTTATTTCCTTTCCTCCTTTCCCTTCTAACACCAAAATTTTTATCTCCTTCCACATCCTACATCAATCTTCAGCCTCACTCAGTTTTCTTCTTTTAACCGTAACTTTTTCTCTCTTTTTTTGTAAAAACACTTTGAGGTCATTTGGATCTTTCAGTTTACACCCCAACTTCTGCACAAATGCTGCCACAGAATCCTCACTA